AATTCTGGGAGTTGAAGTCCACAAGTCATAAATGGACCATCGTTCCCTCATGAATTCTGGGAATTGAAGTCCACAAGTCATAAACGGACCATCGTTCCCTCATGAATTATCGGAGTTGAAGTCCACAAGTCATAAAAGGACCATCGTTCCCCATGTTGGCTCAGGAATCCTGGGAATTGAAGTCCACAAGTCATAAAAGGACCATCGTTCCCTCATGCTGGCTGAGGAATTCTGGGAGTTGAAGTCCAAAGGCCATCATTCCCCACCCCTAATCATAGGGGATCCTGGGACAGACTTTGGCATGCTCTTTCCTGCCTTATCTCCCCTTTATCTCCCCCTTCTTTGATCAACATTTTAGTGAGATTTGTCTCTAGTCAGACCATAAAATGCGATTTTATCTTTGATACAAACAAGATAATCTTCTGTCTGATTAACCACGTACATATTAATGTTTGATGCTCTAATTAAAAATGCGCAGGCACTGAAATACTTCCAAGGAAATATATATCCTTTCCAATTTTACAGCATCGGCTGGCTGAAACAAATACTACCTTGTTTTAAAAATACGCACTGACTGCTTCCCTCCTTTCAGCTGGAACCAAAGATCTTTACTAAACCAGTCACTCCCCAAACATTTGTGGCTTAATTAGCCGTGGCATTTCTTTCTTCCTATATCACATTAAGACAGGCCTGTTTCTAATCTGCATGGCTACCGCACATATTCATTCATGAATTAACCCGTCTTCTTTCCGCACAAATTGATCATGTATTGTTTTTGGGGGGTGGGGGAATAGCAATAGCCCTTAAGACTTATACACCGCATCACGCTGCTTTACAGCCTTCTCTCGGCGTTTTACCACGTCGGCATATTGACCCCCCAACAATCTGGGTCCTCATTTTACCCACCTCGGAAGGACGGAAGGCTGAGTCAACCTTGAGCCGGTCAGGATCGAACTCCTGACAGTGGGCAGAGTTAGCCTGCAATGCTGCATTTTAACCAACGCGCCACGAGGGCTCTTACAAGAAGGAAGGAAGGAAGGAAGGAAGGAAGGGAGGAAGGGAGGGAGGGAGGAAGGAAGGAAGGAAGGGAGGGAGGGAGGGAGGGAGGAAGGAAGGAAGGAAGGAAGGAAGGAAGGAAGGAAGGAAGGAAGGAAAGGAAGGAGAGGAAAGAAGAGGGAAAGCAAAAGAGAAGGGAATTAAGAGATGGAGGCTGCAGGAGAGAGAGAAAAAATGGAAAAAGAAGAAGGGAAGGAAGGGTAGAGGGAAGGAAAGAAAAGGGTGCGAAGGAAGGAGAGAGGGAGGGAAGGAGGGAAATAGACAACAGCAATAGCCCTTAGTCCCAGGGTCCTCAAACTTGGCCGCTTTATGACTTGTGGACTTCAACTCCCAGAATTCCGGAGCTAACATGACTGGAGGAGGAAGAATTCTGGGAGTTGAAGTCCACAAGTCATAAAGCGGCCAAGTTTGAAGCCTTAGACTTATATGCCACTTCCCAGTGCTTCCCAGCCCTCCCTATTCCTGCAGGAGCACCTGAAAATCTAGGAGGGACACAAGTTGTAGGCAATCCCATCAAAGGCAAAGCAGCAGCCTCCCCACACACACACACACCTGGCTTCGCCACTCGATGCATCTACTTACCACTTGTACTTACGAACTTCGTATTTGTACAGATCGTCCGTCAGCCTGTATTTGTTAGCGCTGAACGCCTTGTAACCCCCGTGGGTGTAGATGGCGTTGGAGTTTTCATCATACACGCTGCTGTGGCCATATCCTCCTTGCACCAGGGCCCCTCGGGTTTGTAAAATGCTCCATGTATTTGTGGCTGGGAGAGAAGGAAAAGGCAGGTGTGAATAAACTAGGTTTATTAATAAGCCAAAAGTTTCACATACTATAAACTGGAGCAATTGTAATTTGTTCTCCGAAGACGCGGGTGTTGTGGTTCGCTGGTAGCCGGTGCAGCGGAATCGGACAGCGGGGGAGAACAGGGACCAGTCAGGGAGTCTGGGGAGGACTCGGGTGAGTTCTCAAAAGGAGATCACGTAACCCCCGGGACACTGCAATGGTCATAAATATGAGTCAGTGGCCAAGCCTCTGAATTTGGACCACGAGATCATGCAACGATTAAGCGTGAGAAATGATCCTACGTCACATTTTCAGTGCCACTGGGACTTTCAACAGTCACTAAGTGAACCGTTTTGAGTCGAGGACTATCCAGACTGGTATCTCTCCTTGTTTTCAAGTAAGGACTTTCTCTCAACAGGTTCTTCTTGGCAAGAGATCACATCAATGCCTACATCTGGATGATAAACAGAAGTTCTGTTCAAAGTCCGTAGAGACTCTCCGTCCTGGTTGCCCCAAAGGTGCTTTTATTTCAAGATGCAACTGGACTTTTCTTCGAAGACGTTTTGCTTCTCATCCCAGAAGCTTCTTCAGCTCTGACAGGAATGGTGGGGAACGGAAGGATTTGTACTCTGTGCAGAAAACTCGTCATTTGCATCCTTTCGTGCTTCCACAGCCCTCTAAAACAGGGGTGTCAAACTCAGGTTGCCATGCGGTGTCACATGACGTATTGGGACTTCCCCCCCCCCTTGGGCGTGGCCAGCATGTGATGCATGGGCGTGGAGTGCTTGGGTGTGGCCAAGGGCATGTCACGCATCCGGCTCACAGGCTGGGAGTTTGACAGCCTTGCTCCCAAAGGATGCAAATGACCGGCTGTCTGCAAGGAAGGTCAATCCTTCCTTTCCTCACCGTTCATTCAGAGCTGAAGAAGCTTCTGGGATGAGAAACGCCTTCAAAGATGTCCAGTGGCCTCCTGAAAAAAGCACCTCTGGGACAATCTTGACCTGGATGGCTGAGAATCCCTACAAACTTTTAGCTGTACAATTTGGGGTGTTCCCCCTCCGAATGGTGTGGGAGTAAAGAATGCATTTCCAGAGGGAAAAAACATTGCAGGCGATAGGAACCAGGAGCGCCACTCCAGTGACCCTGGGGACACAGATAAACCTCCAAGTGGCCTCAACGACCCTCTAAAAGGATGCAAATGACCAGCTGTCTGCAAGGAGTAGAAATCCTTCCATTCCCCGCCATCCAGTCAGATCTGAAGAAGCTTCTGGGATGAGAAGTGAAAGGTCTTCAAAGGAAAACCAGAAAGTCCAGTTGCCTCTTGAAACAGCAATTGTCATCTGGGACAACTGAGGACACAGACAAACCTCCAAGTGGCCTCAACGACCCTCTAAAAGGATGCAAATAACCAGCTGTCTGCAAGAAATATTAATCCTTCCATTCCTCACCATCCAGGCAGAAGTGAAGAAGCTTCTTGGATGAGAAGCGAAACGTCTTCAAAGAAAAAAACGGAAACTCCATTTGCCTCTTGAAATAAAAGCACCTCTGGGACAACTGAGGACAGTGATAAACCTCCAAGCAGCCTCAATGACCCTCTAAAAGGATGCAAATGACCCGCTATCTGCAAAGAGTAGAAATCCTTCCATCCTCCACCGTCCACTCAGAGTGGAAGAAGCTTCCTGGGATGAGAAGCGAAAGGTCTTCAAAGAAAAACCAGAAAGTCCATTTGCCTCTTGAAATAAAAGCACCGCTCGGACAACTGGGGACACAGATAAACCTCCAAGCAGCCTCAACGACCCTCTAAAAGGATGCAAATGACCAGCTGTCTGCAAGGAGTTATCAATCCTTCCATCCTCCACCGTCCACTCAGAGTGGAAGAAGCTTCCTGGGATGAGAAGCGAAAGGTCTTCAAAGAAAAACCAGGAAGTCCAGTTGCCTCTTGAAAGGAAAAAGCACCTCCGGGACAGAAGTTCTGTTCCTACCCAAACGAGACGGCCGGGCTAAGCAAGCAGGTGGTTAAGAGCCAATACGCCATTTTGGGGATGCGCTTCTCTCTTCTAGTGTTTGTCTACCCTGCGGGCTGAGAGATCTGGGCGCAAAATGCCAACCCTAGAGAAGAAGTACGCGGAAGAAGAGACGCCAGCTCTGCTCAAGAGGATTTGCGGTTCGTGCAGGATCAATGAGAAGGGAACAACGAGAGCTGGGAGCGGGAGGAAAAAAACCGCAAAAGATCTGAGATGGGAATCTCCGCCAAGGGAGGCGAGGAGGCCAAGGGAAAAGCCGTAGCGGAAAATTAAGAAAGGAGAATATTGGCTCCTCAGGGTGGAAACGAAGGGCCCTCGGTGGTGTCTGAGCTTGGTGGTTTTTCTGGCACACACATCTCTCACGCGCACACACACACACGCAAACTCACACGTCTCTGTCTTGCTCACACAGATACACAAACACAGACAGCTATTTCATCAATGCTAGAAGGGGAGGAGGAAGTTCTCTGGGCTTGGTGGTTTCCTTGCAGACCTTTCGTTACACAAACTAGGTAACATCATTACTGCTAGGTAACATCAGAGCACTGATGATGTTCCCTAGCTGGGTCAAGGAACGTCTGCAGGAAAACCACCAAGCTCAGAGAGCACCGAGGATCCCTCAGGACGGTATTTCCTCGGAGGGCGTCGAAAGGAAGCATGCAACGAAAGAACAAATGAGGGGATTTAGCCTCGTAGGCGAGAGGGCCACAAAATGGAATGGCACCATATACAAAACATTTGCTAGACCAATACTCGAATACAGCTCCTCAGTCTGGAACCCACATTACGTATCTGATATTAGCACAGTTGAGAAAGCCCAGAAATATTTCACAAGAAGAGTTCTCCATTCCTCTACTCGTTGCAGAATACCTTATGCCTTCAGAAATTCTAGACCTAGAAAACCTTGAATTAACGCCGCCTTCGGTCTGATCTAAATATAGTATATAAAATCATACATTGCAATGTCCTATCTGTCAATGAATACTTCAGCTTCAACCATAACTACACAATAGCAAACAATAGATACAAACTCAAGGTTAACCGCACCAAATTTGGTTGCAGGAAATACGACTTCAGCCACAGAGGGGTCCATGTCTGGAATCCTCTACCTGACTCTGTGGTTTCTTCCCCAAACCCCAAAAACTTTAACCTGCTTAGATTGTCTACTATTGACCTCACCCTTTTCCTAAGAGGTCTGTAGGCCCCGTGCATAAGCGCACCAACGTGCCTACTGTCCCTGTCCTATTGTTTCTTTTCATTTTTCTCATATGTATCCATTTCATGTATTCATAACTATGTTTATACTTATGCCTATTATCTTGTAAGCGATTGACAAATCAAATAAATAAATAAAAATAAATAAAACAATGGGAAAATAATGGGAGTCTAGGTAAAAGGGAGCATTCTTAACAGCTGTCAAAATGGCAGAGTAAGATTCCTGAGGCAGCCACAGGACCGCTGCCAAAGGAAGGAGATTGTGTAGGTGAAAGGAAAGGCAGGTCTATCGCAGCCCTTCGTTTCCATGATAGAAAAAAGATGTTGAGACTCTAGAAAAAGTTACAGAGAAGAGCAACCAGGATGATGAGGGGACTGGAGACTAAAACATGTGAAGAACGGTTGCAGGAACTGGGCCTGGCTAAGTCTTGGGAAGAGAAGGACCAGGGGAGACAGGAGAGCAGCCTTCCAACATTTGAGGGGCTGCCCCAAAGAAGAGGGAGTCAAGCTATTCTCCAAAGCACCTGAGGGGAGGACAAGAAACAAGGGAGGGCAATCCAGACGCCGGGACAGCTTTGTCCCCGATGCCATCCGTCTGGTAAACTTGCAAGGTTTGTTTTTCTTGCCGTGTACATCCGAACGAGACTGTGTTGTTTCTCATATGACGTCATATAACGTATGTGGGCACACACATCACTTTTATCCATGTACTGGTTTGTTTGTCGTGTTCATGTCGTGTTTATTGGAGGTGGTGACCCTTTGAGAACTCTTGTGCAATGAAATCTCCGTTTTAATATACGCCGATTAGCGTACCTTCAAAGTGACAATAAAGTTATCCTAAGTCGAAGCCACCTGGAACTAAGGAGAAACTTCCTAACAGGGAGAACAATTAATCGGCGGAACAGTCTTGCCACTAGAAGTCATGGGTTGCGGCAACCCTGGAGGGTTTTCGAGAAGAGACTGAAATGGTGTCGAGTTTCCTGCCTGGGCAGGGGGCTGGACTAGAAGATCTCCAAGGTCCCTCCCACCTCTGTCAATCTGTTATTTTACACAAGAGTGAAAGTCACGACCAGACGACGCTCACCGAGATTGTACTCCTGCACGCTGCTGATATAGCCGTAAAGAGGGCAATGCCCAAAGAGCACCAGCATCACCGCCGCGCCGTCCTGCAGGGTGACCATGTGGGCGGAGTGGCCCACCACGGCGTACTGCTCCTTGGCCTTTGGCGACAGGGGGACCCAGGAATGGTTGGAGATGTGGAAGACCCAGAGCTCCGTGGTTACGTTGCCGGTTTCGTCTATCTTGCCTCCATACATGTAGATTTTGTTCTAGAAGAAACAGAGAGAGGGCACGGACGGACGTGTTAGGGTTACGGTCACGCACCCCGTCAGAGTCTGAATCCGAAGAGGAGGACGACGTACAGCTGACAGGGAGTGGGAGCGTGGCTCCATTGGCTGTGGAGGAAATTGGGGAAGGGCAAAGTCCAGCTGGGCAGAGCAGGGGAGAGGGAGAACAAGGGAGATGGATTTCAGAGGAAAACCCAGGCCCACCCGCTCTTCATCCTAGGGCACACAGGAAGGAACGGAGAAGGGAGCAACATGAGTTGGGTGGCTTACGGGGGAGGAAAGGGCCCTGATTCCCTTCATTAGCCACAGCTGGGAAGAGAGTTTAAAAGAGAAGCAAGTTGAGAGCGGCGTCTGCCGGGAACAAACATGATTTTATCTTGTGTTGACAGTTGACTCCCAACGGTCACTAACGCCACATCACTCGAGGACTTCCTGTGCCGTTTTCCTCTAAGCCAGGGGTTTGGTATCCCAGCCAAATTAGAAAAGTTTCAGGAACGCAAAGAAATAAAAATTAAAAAAAGCCACTTACTTCGTGTAAGGCTATTGAATGCCCATATCTGATCCCCACGGCGTT